AGCGATGTAGCAGTTGAACCGAGAGTTATATATGTTTTAGCGATGTAGCAGTTGAACCGAGAATGATATAAGTTTTGGCGATGTAGCAGTTGAACCGAGAGTTATATATGTTTTAGCGATGTAGCAGTTGAACCGAGAATGATATAAGTTTTGGCGATGTAGCAGTTGAACCGAGAGTTATATATGTTTTAGCGATGTAGCAGTTGAACCGAGAATGATATAAGTTTTGGCATAGTAAATAACAAAAAATAGTTACCATACAAATCTTTCTTAAAAATCACATTTTGTTTCTCCTATATCTCAAAGCTTTGGGTAGATCAAAAATGTGTTTACCAAGTCTAATAACAACTTGGTTAGCGATCTGCTTTTTACAAACACTTACAAGTTTCATTATGCTCGTATTATTGATCCATTGATAAGCTACAGAATTTTCTGAGATGGACGGTGTAAGTCGAGCGAATAGAACTTTCTAGATTAGACGTCACTAGCAATTTGAAACTTTATTAGTAGCTGGTGAGTAGGACGAACGAGAAGACTACTTACAATTTAAGAAACCCTACTTGGTGGTTTCTTTAAATCCCTGTTATGAGTTAACATATGGCAGTTATAGGAGACATAAGCCTTGTGAAGTTTGTGTTTCAACTGCACAATTATGCACGATAGAGGGAAATAACTGAGTAACCCCTAAATCTAAGATTTACCCTGGAAATAAGTTATCTGAAATTCCTGTAAAGTTTGTTATCCACTCTATATCTGTATATAATACAGGCGGTAGATGAGTAAGGGTTAACTCTAAGCCAAATGGCTTAGAAGTAAAATGTAAAGTTTGTTTCTTTACTATAAATCTCTATATAATACAGAATAATTAATGATTAATACAGAAGATAGATGATTAATGGTTAGTTCTAGCATTTGATCTATAAATATAATGTACATAATTTCTGTAAAATTATTTTCTCCACTCTATACCTGTACACAATACAGGCGGTAGATGTGTAAGGGTTAACTCTAAGAATTTCTCTAGAAAAAAAATGTCCATAATTGTTGATAATTCATCAAACATCGTTTCAGAGAAAATAATCGGAACTCATTCTCTCCCTGAAAAATGTTGGTGGTAAAATATTCTCATTATGCACACTAATAATATTTCCAATACACATCTGCATAATGAGAGTGTTGCTAAACCTATTGTAGTAAAACTAGCTTCATAAGTGTTCGAAGGGTAATTTGTTTCCTGAAGAGGTGAAAGTTGAGAACGAACGATATACGAAACCGCTACTCAGCTGAAAAAGAAGCTTCTTTAACTATCTAAGCTACCGCGTCTTGGCTCAATCTCCCATGTCACTTTATTGCTTATTAAGCATGAAATATGTCGGGACTTTTGAGTTATTTCATTCCGCTTCTTAAGATCAACATCCGCTTACTACCATTTTTTTGCTGTTTTGCTGTTTTTTTGATATTTAAAAGTGACACAGTGTTTTATGAAGTTACCATAGAGATTATTAAGAGTGACACAATGTTCCATAAAGTTATATACAGATTATTAAGGATGACACAATGTTCCATAAAGTTATATACAGATTATTAAAAATTGTGACACAGTGTTCTATGAGGTTACCATAGAGATTATTAAGAGTGACACAATGTTCCATAAAGTTATTATAGAGATTATTAAGAGTGACACAGTGTTCTATGGAGTTACCATAGATATTATTAAGGGTGATGACATTCCATTCCCTGTAGTTAATATCATAAAGTCGGTGACACATTGGCCAAGGTACTTAATAGACATAATATAAATATGCACGCTAAAAACTCAACAGTGACAGAGTGTTTTACTTTAAAAAATGATTGCCACTCATC